CACGAATTTCGTGCACTGGGCCTCTAGTAATTATATATAAATTATACATATATGAACTATATATATTATAGCAATAATATAAACATATAATACAAACATATTATATCATATCATATCATAATGGTCTCCAAAGTTGAAGACTCTAAGAGTATACAGGGTAACCCCTTGAGGTGTGGGGGGGAAAGTATTAGTGTTTTGAGGTTGTTGTTTTTTGATCATTTACTCTATTTTGTTCTTTTTTATATTATTTTTGCAAATAGTCAGTAGATATAGCAGAATTTTATTAAAATTCTATGGGTATATTATGGGTATGGGTATATTAACAATGTGCACCCAGTTATCATCCACACCCAGTTTAAGAACAAGAACTTGACCACGAACTTTGAAGGCCCTGTGGGCCCTCCCTAACCCCTCCTCTCCCCTCCCCTTCCCTTCCCTTCCCTTCCCTTATCAAATCTCAAGGAAATGATAACATCCTGAACTTCAGCAACAAGGAGGTTGGCTGAACTTTCCTTTCCCCTTCCCTTCCCTTCCCTCTCCTCTGAGGTACTCATCAGCCGAAATGTGGTGCTGGTCAGTCCCTTCCATGTTTTTACAGGTTTACCACATAAACTTCAATCCCTAAGCAAGACGTCATTTGGTTTTATGTACTTTTTGAACTTCACATAATTACATTGACACGATATTAAGTTTCTGCAGTTTGCTTTGTTCATCGAACATTCTTGAGCTGAGATTCGCCCACATTGCTGCATGTAACTGTGCTAGATTTCATGGTATGACTGTGGCACAATTGACTCATTCATTCTATTGTTGAAGGACATGGAGTGCTTTCCAACAATAGCTTTGAATATTACAGATATTCTAATATATGTCTCCTGGTGCCCACATGCAAGAGTTTTCTAAAAACCTCTCATCCATTTTACTTCCCATTTTTATATAACCATGCAGTGAGTGTATAAATAAAAACATATACTGGGAGCATATGTGCTATAAATTTACTTGGCTGGGTATATGCCCACTGCTTTCACATCTATATACATGTATTGTCAATTTTTAAATTAGTATCTGAACATTTTTATGAAAAAATGTCCAATGCCCAAAAAAAGGCATTTTCTCTTTCCTAACTCTCTCTGTAATATATATATTTACTTTTCAGGACCTGCAATGAAATCTCAAGGACATGTTCACCCAATTCTCCTCTCTCCTGCGAGGATTTCAGAGCTGAGTATGGTGTCTACAACAAGTGAGGGTGAGTTCCTGGTGTTCTTGTAAAACATCAGTGATCCAATCCATCCCTGCACTAAACTTCCACTTGCCAAATAGTTTGGAAACTCCTCATACATTGTCTTGTCTGGCCTATTTCCAACTCTTCATCATTTTTCTGGTGTGCTGTACATCCCACCATGAAACTTTACTAACAAAACCTTTGCACAGAATACAAGGTATTCAGATGACATCATTCAATACCTTGTAGTCCCCTGCAGAACTCTTGCCTGTTAGATGCCATGGTGACCTAGAGACAATACATTTGCAGTGTCACTTGGATGGGAGGACAGCAAGAGAGAACGGCTGTTACCCAACAGTTGGTTGAATGGTCAGTTCCAGGGACTGGGAATATTTGCAGAGTGAAAGCAGGAGAAATGTTGTCTGGCACTCAAATGCTATTTTGTCTCCTGGGGACAATGGCAAGAGGCCAAGTGGGACAAAGACCCGCCTGGGCACGCACCCTGGTCCCTAAAACATCCTTAAGAGCCCACTATGTGCAGATATCATCAGGCAAGGTGGCTCTCACAGCGTAGGAAGGAAACATGCAAGACATTGCCTTCAAGATGCATAGCAATCCTTTGACAAAAGGAACTTTGTTTTACTCTTTTCTGCATCCCCCAGAGGTTCTAGCCTATACATACATGCATATGAATACTGTACATGCATGTAAGTGCTCAGTCATTGACTTAATGGGGGGAAACACACACACACAAATGAATGAATTGGTCAGGAACTTGAACTTGGGATGCAGAGGAAATGATAACTTCCTGAACTTCAGCAGCAAGGAGGTTGGCTGAACTGGAAGCAGGCCACTGTGTGTTTGTGGGGGTCAGTGGTGAGCGGTGGAGGGGACCTGCCTTGGCTGTATCACCTCCATCCAGGAGGCCTAGCTTCCTGGCCTCTAACCACCGTCAGCCAAGCTTAGACTGTGCTGCAGGCCAACAAGCCCACCTTCCCCAGCCTCACCCCAACCATGTGCAAGGGAAGGGACCCTTCCTGGTTTTGCTCAGCACCAGAGCTTCCCAGCGTCAGCCTCGGACGACTCAGGCAGC